GTTGAGTTTATGAACTTAGTTACTTACATCATGTGGCTATAAAGATAAAAAGACTAAGCCTTGCACAGAGGCATGACAATACATTTTCAAAATGCTCAACAGTGCTGCCAAAATTATAAACTGACTGCTACACAATTAAAAGAAATGCTTTTATATATTTCTATTAGATGTGGCTCTTTGGCGTTTCTGTTATTATTAACACTGCTGCTTTAGTTGTTCTGACTGCTAAAATCCTCTGTTATTCCGTGGGGTGGGGGAGCCGGGGGCTCGGATCCTTGTCACCTATTTCATACCTGATGAGTTTGCATCCCTGATTATATGTATTATCATTTGTGGTAATAATTGAACATATATGCAAGATGTTACAGTCCTGCGCTATCATTAAGAGCTTGATAAGATACTACCATGTATTTTGATGTTAGAAAAATATATAAATAACCATGTTTTTCAAATCTACAGCAACGTATTTACAACATATTTGTGACCTTTGTTGTTACTTTGATTGTTCATCTTCACTTATTTGTAGCATTTCTGATTTCTGGATGGCAACTATTTCATTTCTTTACATGAGGTTTACTCTAAATAGCAACAAAAAACTGTTTTAATAAGCAATGTACATTTTCTCTTCATTATTATGTCAATCTTTGTGCAGAACCAATGGCAGCGATGACAGCAGGAAGTGTATTTTTGGCCGTCTTTCTGGTGCTATTTCCTGTGGCAGGTAAAGGTCTGCCTTATTTGTATTGTTGTTAAAAAGTTGTTGATTATTTCCCCGCAGAGAGTGTTAATCCAGCCTGTACATTTTGTGTTTTATTTCAGTTCAACTGTCATCCGGATGTGTTTCCTACTCAATCAAAGAAACATGTGGCTTTAGGGGCTCATCGGTACGGCTTCGCTGCTCCTTCAAATGCAAGAAAAGTCGAGTTCAGGATGGTCCAGAAAAATGATCTCTAACGGGACACTTGAACCCTTGAGCCTGATGCCAGCTTATTCGTCTCGAATGATGAACCGTAAATGTAGAAAAAATGACTGCACGATGAACCTGACTAACTTAAAAATTACTGATGCATCCACTTACTATTTTGTGTACAACTTTCGAAATGCTTCTGGTGATATGGTGACATGCAAAGGTATGCCCGGTGTAATGCTCCAATTTTCTGCGTCTCCAGTAAGAATCGTGGTAGACAGGTTCCTTAGTGGTCAGTATGTGCCTGTTGCAGATTTGAAAGTGATGAGGGGTCAGAAGATAATGCTGACTTGTGTCCAGACCTGTCCTGCAAATCGAATACATAATTCAAAATACACCTGGTACAAGAACGGCCTGAAAATCAATGGCAGCAGAGCAAACTCTCTGCATTTGGACGCAATCAGAATTGAAGATACAGGCAGTTACGTCTGCGATGTGATTGGCTACAAAGACTTCTCCTCGGTTGCTGTCAATCTCACAGTCCAGGGATGTCACTGACACACTGAGGGGTCTCGAGTCCCTGATCCTGGCCCACTCATAACCCCCACCGATACTCCCAAAAGCAAAAGCATGTCTCTGTTCTCTGTAATGTAGTTTGTGTGTGCATTGGATTGGTAACAGTAATCATTGTGGGATTACTAATCAGAGCAAAGAAGAAGAAGAGAAGACAACATGGACTCTAGATACCATGGCTCTGGATATTAATACCATGTTGAGTGATTATGAGACAATGAGACCCTGCCCTTCTGCTGAAACTGTTTATGAGAACTGACACCACAACTCTCTGGGAGTTTTTAAAGCAGCCCACCATCAGCGTAATATGTAATATTCCATGTAAAGTGTTTATTTTATTATATCTATATATATATATTTATTAGATTTGCCTTTTCCTTCATGTGTATTAACTTGACTTGAGAGCATGAGGTAATCTTCAACCTTGAAAAGTGAAACCTGAATTCCTTCTAATTGTCAGAAGGGGGCGACTCCACAAAAGAGTGCAATTGTAAAAGTAAATAATCCTATTTATCATTTAATTTATTACTCATTAAACATTGACATGAAGAGTTTGTGGTCTCAATTGCGATTTTCAACTCTTTTCCAATTATGTTAATTTGGTAACTGATCAACTGTGCCAACCCAAGATGTGATTTAAAAAGTATTGAAGCCTCAGTACAAAAGTAGTTTAATTTCTGATATGTAGTTCTTTGGAGGAAAGGGTGTATATTTCATGGTCATTTCATGAAGTGTTATGACTTTGTTGCAAACAAAGAGGAAAAAAAGAATGTAAGCCTTTGTTTTGTAGACAGTTTGTAGCTTTTTGAGAGTCCAGGCATGTCCGTTTTGGGAACAGACTGTCAGAAACCTTTACAAAGCTCTATGTCGTTGCTAAACGCTCTTGTTTTACCAAAATGTCATCACTGTCTGTTGCTCTTTCTGTGTGTTTGTGTCTCTGTACCTGCCAGCAGCTTTGTGTGTGTGTGTGTGTGTGTGTGTGTGTGTGTGTGTGTGTGTGTGTGTGTGTGCGTGTGTGTGTGTGTGCGCGTGTGTGTGTGTGCACGTGTGTGCGTACTCGTAGTTCCAGCTAATGACATAAGTAAGCAGACATGTTCAACAACTTATTGGTGCATGTAAACATTGTACGCTGCAGCAGCCCCATCCCTCCCTCCTTCTGTTCTTCCACGCTTTTATCTCCCCTCTTATCTCCTGCCCTCTAAATCTGCTCCTCCATCGCTCCTCTTCTGTCTCTACTCGCCTCTATCTGTTTACCCGTCTCCCTTCCCCCGGGCTTTCAAAAACCCTTTCCCTCTTCTCTCTCTTTATTATATATTTCCTCTCTTTCTTCCACCTCCACCGGCATTATTTTTCTTTCCCCCCTGCAACTCCATCTGTCTGACGGTCTGCCTGCCTTTCCTTTCCAGCCATTCATCCGCCGTCACTCTGTTGCTTATGTGGTTGTGATGGAGGAGGTAAATAAACACAGCCAAAGCCAGGGATCCTAAAAGATCTTGACTTTGCATGCATGGCGGTAATTCATCACTACCTTGTCTCTGCCTTCCCTGTTTGTTCTGCATATATAAGAAGGAGGATTTATCTGTAATTGTAAGTCAGGTGATCGAGGAGGGAGGTGGGTTAGCGGGGGAGAGGAATTATTAAATATCACTGGTAGTTTGAAGCCGCCTGGGGCAGAGCTGCCATCTTTGTTTTGGGCATATGGTGCATTCCAGTTGTCTTCTTGGAAACTCTGGGATAGCTGGCCACATGATATCATCCTTCAAAACGAAGTTTCCACATATAAACATTAAGAGAACATTTGATTAAATATCACATTTTCTAGCTCTTCTATGTGTCACATTAAATCAACTGTACATATGGTACTGATCAACTTCTATCTGTGGATATGTTGCTACGATGTTGGTCTTAAAAAAAATACAAAATAAAGCGTAGTAGCCTATTGCTAACAAATCGCTAATCCGAAGTGAATGCTAAAGCTGTAAACAAGGCAAACAACTTCCTGTGGGCGGCCATCTTTTTGCTACATGGATGTGTCGTCACTGCCACTTTGACTTAAATGAAACTCAGCATCGCAGCTTTCTGCCAGTCACATGGTTGTGTTTGGTTTATCGGCAGGTATTGACAGGTCTGAATGTCCTGTGTTTGAGAATAATGGCTATCAAAAGGTGGTGAACAAAAGAGGAAATATCTCACCTATTAGAAACCCCCCACCTAACCCTGGCTTCCTTCCTCCTGCTCCCTTCAACCACCACCTCTCTCCTTTTTCCTCACCCCCTCCCCACCTCCATGACCAATTAGCTCTAAGGCCATAATGGATGTTGTTTGCCATGTTTCCCTGTCAGCGGATTGAATTAGCGCCTCTGTGTGTGCGAATCTGTGTGTGTGCGTGAGTGATCATCTTATCGGCTCTTAGTACAGTAATGAAACACAGTTATAAATGGCTGCAATCCTGTTAACAAAACAGCACCTGAGTGTAGCCCGCTAGATAAATCAGAAATGGGCCGTCGCCACGCCGACCCGGCGGCTGTTGCTAAGGCGCGGAATCACCAGGAGACAATTGAATCATTTGCTCACTGTCTGATAAAGCGTCTGTCTTTAACAACCGGATCACTGCTATAAAAAATAACATCATTTGTTATCACTGTGTGTCTGTGTCCCCCCCTTCACATGTTCAGGAGAATTTCTGGTTTTGTAATCAAACTGTTATTACAAAAAAAGGCAGTTTTTTTCTTTGTATTGTAACAATTTTAGCGTTTTTTTAACAGCCACGACTTTGCTTCTGGTCTTTACTCATCGCACCATGGTAATATCAGTTGTCATGCATGCATTTTCAAACACACACACACACACACACACACACACACACACACACACACACACACACACACACACACACACACACTAAACAGTCACTAATGGCTGGCGTGTTACCTGAGTCACACACAGCAGCTTTCTGTCTGTCGAGCTGGTGAATGGCTGCAACAACCCGGGGAATTATATTTTGAAGACCACACAGGAGCCCACATTTGATTAATTGAGCGGTTAAATTAGTTTAAAATGGATTACCTCGATTATACTTGTTGTTAATGCATAACAGCTGTCGAAATGTTTGGATAGGTCTGGAAGTCGGGAATTACTTTTTGCAGGTGTCCCGAGAATAAAACGTTGGCAGACCGTTACTGAAGGCTTTCTCGGGTCTCATAAATTCACTGAAACGCCTTCTGTTCTCCAGCCGGCCACATCCCTCCGCCGGGGGCATGAGCGCGGAGGAGCAGTCCCGGCTGCGGTCCCTCTTCCACGCCTACGACTTGGATAACTCCGGGCAGATCAAGAGAGGCGAGTTCCTCAACATCTGTGCGGAGCTGCATGTGTCCCAGGCGGAGGCTGACCAGATATTTAACAGATTGGACGTGGACAACGACGGAGCCGTCACCCTGCCAGAGTTTATCAGCGGCTTCCACGACCGCTACGGAGAGGACATGGAGTCCGACGGAGGAGACGGGTCCGCCGCCTGGGAGAACTTCGAGAGGAGGCTGGGCGAGCAGGCCAAGTTCATCCCCAGGTGAGAGCACCTGTCCAGCGGGCAGGGAGGTACTGCACAGACGGGTGTTTTTTTTTTTTAAATATAGAAACAAAGAACTGCTAACAGAGCACTATACTAATAAAGGACTGGCTTATCTATAGCCAGTTGAGTAGCACTTGAAATGTTTGGCTCT